CCCCCCCCCCCCCCCGGTCTGTTTGGAGAACGGAAGGTGCGATTTTTTTGACAACTGAGCAGGGACAGGTACAGGGGGGAAGATACCCATTTTCTTTCACATAAAATCATAGAAAATTAGGGCTGGAAGGGACCTTTGGAGGTCATCTAGTCCAATCCCCTGCCTGAGGATCATCATTTCTATACAAACCATCCCATATAAATCCTCATCTAACCTATTACTAAGACTACACAATCCTGTTTCACAGCTACAACTGTAGCACCCTAACTTGCCCAAGGTAAAGCAGGGGGGACATTGGTGGTCATTGACCTGCTGCTACAAGGATTGTTAAAATCTACTTGAGAGATCCAAAGAAGAGAGCCATGTTCCCACTATAGAGAAAGACAAAACCTCCAGTGTGTACCGGTCTGACCATGGAGTAAATTCCTTCCTGAATCCAAATGTGGAGACATGTCTAACTCTGAGTGGAGGGGCAAGACCGTCTTGCCAAAAGCCCCTGGGTTTTGGTCCTAGCAGAAACACTGGCACACACTAGTCAAAATTCCCAACCTTGGCTGCAGGTATCACCCAGTGTCTTCTCATCCCTAGCCTCTCCTCTCCACTGACTTCCTTTACAGCAGTCTCACCTCCTGTCTCTTCCTATACAGTCCACCCCTTTCGGTGGAGTTCATTTGCTGCTGCCCATTAATGACCTGAAGGTGTAGCTGTCCCTACTGGGTCCAGTGCTTCTGCACTGACTCTCCTATTACCACTACAACTTCCCACTCGCTTCTTGCTGTGCTCAAGATCTAAGCTAAAATATATATATTTTGCTTGTTTAATATGCCATGCCAATGGATAGTAAATTATAGGACATTTCAGATTGTGACCCATGGTAACTGGCTCAGTTCTATGAGGACATGGCTGGCAGAGAATGAGGCCTAAAGACATTGGTGAGTGAATGAGGAGAAATGAGGTCAGAAGGTGAGGTGACTAGGTGGATGAGCAATTGAGATAACCCCCCTCAATTTTACTGAACTGTTGAGAACTTCAAACCTGAGGCATCTGATTATCACCGTAAACAGTAGCACAAATTCCCATAACAACCTGAATCACCATAAAGAATCAGATGATCTGAACTCCCTTTCCAACAGTGTTCACTAATAAGATCATTACACTTAGGAAAGGCCAATCTAAGCATGGTAGAGTGCCAGATCTTCTGTTTATAGCAGGCTTGATTGGGAGCCTGACTTCATAGGTAGTGAGAGCTGCTCTGACTCCATCATTGCATGTTCCAGGGTAAATTCTCAGAACCATACCTTCTGCATCAGCACCTTCCCCATGTATTTGCTGTGATTCTGTCTGCTTTCTACATAGGGATTCCAGGCATGTGATCGTGAGGAACCTGTGGCTGGATATTTACACATACTTCAGTATCTAGTGTGAGCTATGTGGATGTGTTGAATCCACACATGTGAATTTTAGATTACTTTCTGTTGAATCTGCTAATGTCAATGCACATATAGTTTTACTTTATGTTTACAATATATTCTGTGCCTGCCAGTTTGGCAGCCCTCTTTCCCACACTTGTAGCTGGAGTTATTTATTAGTGAATGCCCTGGACAAGCATAACATCTAGTCCTAAAATACTGCTCTAGTCCAGGTAGCTGTTAGCAAGCTGCAGCCTTTCAGCCTGTAAACAGATTATGATAGTGAGTAATATCAACTCCTGGTTACCCACGCAGTCACAGTTAGCCTTGTGCTCTTGCCTATGATTTACAGATGGGACTCCAGAGTCAACTTCACTACAGCTGCTGTCTGTCAAACTGGAGTGAGCAGTATTCTAGGCAGGTTTCTGCAACTCAAATGTGCTTGATTTGATCTAGTCAAATGTCCATGTGAATCATTCACCAACACACCTTTGTCCATGGGGAATCTTCCTTCAGCCATTTACAATGACAATGCAGGATACAATGGAAATGAATGATGATGGGACAAAATGATCAAAGGCAGTGAGGAGGGTTGTAGAGAAGTGCTAAAGAACACATGGAGGAAGGAAACTCTCCTGTTATGCATGTACACTATGTAGCCAAATATAATTATGAGGTACGAACATCATATGGCCAATTTGTGACCTACTGTAGTCTATTCTTCCAAAGATCATTTGAGCTTCTGGTGTCTCCTGTGCCTATAACTAGGAAACAAGACCTTAGAATTCCATAAGAAACACACATCTGAAATCAGCCACTTAGTATTATGCATACATGGTGATATTTGCTTTTATAAAGAGATGGAATGAAGTATTAACACCCCCCCAGCCCCAAAACTGAACAAATGTGATATCTTATGCTGCCAAAACCTGCAGCAACAGCCTACTTAAGGCTATGGAGTCAAGCTACATACCCACAGCACAGTATAGTGAAAGTAGACACAAACATTGGGCATGTTTAGACCACTTTTACAGTGCTTTCTATCTCTGACGGGTTTGAGAACAGTGGCAGGTTTGGAGAGTGCTTTCAGGATGGCTCCACTGTCTCCTGTCTGGGTTTGACATGGGTGGGTAGGCAGTGCTGTACTTCTCTGTGGCAATCTCAAAAGCCTCACAGAAGGTAATGCTTCACTCACCTCTGTAGGTCGCGAACACTCATGAAGAATTTCCTGAAAAGCAAAGAGAAATTCATTTTAATTCTTTCAGAGTTTGACTTTTTGCACTTCCTAAGCTGGAAAAAAGGAGATGTATATAGCATGCTACTGAGTACATGGATGTTTTAGCAGTGTGATCGTAGACAAAATGCAATGTCACACATGTTAGTATTGGTCTGCACTGCTTGCTGCATTATGCAGAAAATCCCAATGCCAAATCATTTACCATTTATAGCCCATTATAATACCTCTTCCACAGTGCTAGATCAGTTTAGCAGTACCAATTTTAATTCACCATGAAGGACCTCTGACAGACAAATATAACTGTAGACATTGTATGATGTATAGATATTCTGCTTCCAAGGATGATTTTTAGTCATGATCATGGATCCGGGTTTTCCATTTACCATGGAAAAACATGGTAAAACCTGGATTTTCTCATTTTAAGGACAAAAACCTGGATTTTCACATTTTAAGGAGAAAAATGTGGGAAATGTGGGTTTCCCCTTGCAGGCTGGCAGAGCTCCAGCTTGCAAGGGGCCGGGGGGGGGGCAGAGGGAGTGGAAGGAGGGTGGTTAGGCAGGGGGGGCCATGTGCGTACATACACATGCACATGGCCATCAGACAGCCTGGAGAGCATCTCCCACAGGTAAGTTGGGGGAGCAGGAATCGAGGTCCCTACAGTAAGAGTGGGAGTGAGTTGGGCAGGGCTGGGGCTCCTGCCCAGCCAGGTGATGCATGGGGCTTGGGGCCCGGTGCTGGAATGCATGGCCACAGGGCCTGGGCAGGGAGTGGGACTGAGCTGCGGGCAGCTCATCCAGGGGGTAGCAGGGGCGGGGGTGGGGGGTGGCTCTCTGCCACTGTGAGCACTTCTGGGGGAATATGGGGGGCACGTACCACCCAGATCTGAGCAGGGGCAGGTGCGGGCTGCCCACTGCAGGCTCAGGCTCTTTGCCCTGTTACCCTTCTTCCAGGGCCTCCACACCTCAGTGGGCAGGATGCAGTGCAGCAGAGCAGAGTGGGGCTGCGCAGGGAAGCTTGTTGTAATTGCCATAAGTCCCGCACTGCCATAGTGAGGTGGCAGCAGCAGGGGTAGCAGTGCGGAGTTGTGCCCCTTGCCACTGCTGGGCGGGCAGGGGGCTTCTAGCTATGGCAGCGTGGGAGACTCAGCAGCAGCAACAAGCTTCCCAGCCCCACTCTGCTCTGCTGAGCCAGGTTCTGGCCACTGGACCATGGAGACCCCAGGAGGAGGGCATCAGGGAAGGGAGCCCAAAGCCTACAGTGAGCAGCCCACACCTACCCCCCCACGGACTACACTCTGGTTATGCTGCCCATGGGGAGGGGGAGCCAGGCTCTGCACTCCACTCCACTGCAGGAGCCACTGCCTCCTGAAGGCAGCAGCCAGGGCTTGGACACTGCTGCAAGGAGCAGAAGGCTGCAGCCCCGGTCCCTGGCCCCATAGTTCTCACAGCTGGGGGCCCCTGCGACAGGGCTGAGGGGGCAGGGAGTGAGTGAGGGGCACCAGCAGGGGTGGGGGGGGACTATGTTTGGGGAGTGAGGGTCAATGGCATGGGGAGGGCACTGGCATATCAGAGCTGCTGAGCACCAAAAAGCAGTTGTAGGGAGGTCAGCCGCAGCTGGACCCCCCATCCTGGTGCATGAAGGGGGCAGGAGAAGCTGTGATTTTCCATGATAAGAAACCCAGAAGCAAACACCAAAATGTATGGGTATTTAGAATTCATTTTATTACAGCGATTGAGGCACTGGTAGGCTCCCAAATTGCTTTAAAATTGTAAATATATCTGTTCAACTGATACCTATATATATAATCGTGTTTCATTTTAATAATGGGAAAATGTGGATTTTGGAGGCTTTATTCAGAGAATGTTGTGGGTTTTATCAGAGAATTTGCTATTTTTAAACAGAGAAAACCAGGATCCCTGGTTGTGATATTTTCTCTTTGAGAGTTGCATGTGGAGAACAAGGCATGGGCCAAAACCAAGGCCCCATTGAAATCAGTATGGGTCTTCCATTAACTTCAGTATACTTTTAAGTCAGGGCTGTCCAACTGGTGGCCTGCAGGCTTGCATGAAACCCTCAGAGGGTTAGAATGCAGCCCCGAGGCTCTCACCCAACCACCACTACCCCCCTTGTTCTTGCTCCTGCCTCTTCTGGCTTCTGCTTCCTGCTTCTTCTCTTGGTGGTGGTGGGGCACTGCAGTGGGATGGAGCTGGTGTGTCCAAGCTGCACATGAGTTAACTGTGTTGTTTGTGTTGCATGAAACAAAGACAGGAGTCAGGCTGCTCACGCTGCCGGTGAGCAATGCGTGTGGTCGGGGATGCTGTATATACAGTGGGGGGGCCTTGCCTATATGATTGAGCTGTACACATGGGCTGGGATGGGGAAAAGGTTTGCTGGGCTGTCCATGCAATGGGCCAGAGCCCAAGGGTGACCACCTATGGGCTCTCAGGTCTGCAGTCCATGCCACCTGCAATCCCTGAGGACTACAGCCCACAAGGTCCCTGGCTGCCTGGAAGTTGGACAGCTCTGCTTTAAGTCAGGATCTGTAACAGCTAAGTAATACTGTGAAGTTTCATAGTTTCTAGAGTCGGAAGGGACCTGAGAAAATCATCTAGTCTGACCCCCTGCCATGGCAGGAAAGAGTACTGGGGTTAAACGACCCCAGCAAGGTGTTCCTGTAACCTCTTCTTAAAAGCCCCCAGGGTAGGAGCCTGCACCACCTCCCTTGGAAGTTGGTTCCAGACCCTAGCCGCCCTGACCGTGAAATAGCACCTTCTGATGTCTAACCTAATGTTGATGTTTTCTGATGTTCGTTCTGGATAAATGCTTAAGACTTTGAAGGCTTTGCCCAGGATACCGAATCTGCAAAACAGGGCTGGAAACCTCGTAAGAAATTACATCTCCATGTGATTTCAGCTGCTTCATGCATTTGCTAGAACCAGAAATACTCCAAGGACAGCTACTACATTTTTTGTAGGGGAGGAAAAAAATGGAGTTATACATACAATACAACTAGGATAGGCATGTGGGAGAATGAAAACAATAGGCCTGTGCGAGTCAGCAGTGATCTGATCTGGCTTCGGATCCAGTCGCTTCAGATGGCAGTGACCCAATCCAGATCTCTGGACTGGGTTTCCGCTTCGATCTGGCTGAAGTGGCTCCGCCTCGGAGATCCAGCCATAGGGTATAATGGGGGAATCAATGAAATATCTATAACTTTGTTGTTTTTTGTCCACTTTGGATTAAACTTTCAGGTATGGTAGCCTCTGCTGAGAGCATGAAATCTGCCAAGTTTTAAGAAGATCCATGCAGGGGTTTGGGGGGAACTGTACCCCAAATTCTTGAAAGCCAAACTCATGTCACGGCTGTGTGTTACACCACAGGGGGGTCAAAACGGCAGGGGTGGTAGCTCTTACTGAGGCCACAAAGCCTGCCAAGTTTCAAGACGATCAGCACAGGGGTTTGAGGGGGAACTTCACCTCAAGCTGCAGACAAGCAAAACTTGTGACGTGGGTGACACTGTGTGTGTTAAGGCGCAGTGAGGTGACAGCTGCAGGGATGGTGGCCTCTGCTGTGGCCACGAAGCCTGCCAGCTGTTGAGGAGATCAGTGTAGGGGGGTTCTGGGGGCAGTTGATTGTCTTGGGGCAGTTGATTTTCTGTATTGATTCTTTCCTCTCCTTAGTCTGGTCTTGTAGGTGCTAATTGATGGCAATTAACTGGCTACATTAGCTAGGTCCTGTGTATTGAGCAGGTGAGTGAATCATGATTGATTGGTAACTGGTAACACTAGCTTAGCAGCCAGGCCTGCAGTAGTGTCTCCCATGCCCCAAGACAGACACAGTCAGTCCCACAAGCACCCATGTCACAAGTCTTGCCTGTCAGCAGCTAGGGGTGCAGGACCCCAGACCCTCCTGCACTGATTTCCTCGACAGCTGGCACCGATCTTCTTGAAACTTGGCAGGCTTTGTGGCCTGAGTAAGACCTACCACCCCTGCAGTTTTGAACACCCTGTGTTGTAACACATAGACGTGACAGGAGTTTTGCTTTCAAGAATTTGGGGTGCAGTTCCCCCCAAACCCCTGCACCAATCTTCTTGAAACATGGCAAGCTTCATGCTCTCTGTAGAGTCTACCACATCTGAAAATTTCATCCAAATTGGACAACCCCCCCCCCCCAAAGTTATAGATATTTTATTGTTTCCCCATTATACCCTATGGCTGGATCTCCGAGGCAACTCTGAAGCGCTTTGGAAGCTCCAAACCCGGATGTGCTTCTTTGGACCCCGAAGTGTCCAAAGCTTCTCCAGATCTGAAGCTCTGTCCGAAGCCTCACACAGCCCTAGAAAACAACTGCACTGACAGGTAACAATGTTTGTCTGACCTCATAACAGGTCCAGTCCAGACTTTGGGTGAAAGGCTGAGTTCCTACTTAATTTATCTGAGCTACAGTAATTCACCCATCCTTAATGAATAATTAGGTCAATTATCCTGAACAAGAAAATTATCAATCTATATACCTAAAAAAATAAAAGGTGCATAGTCCATGTCAATAGGACATTTCAGTTCTGTCTACAGGGGGGTATAGATTTTATAGACATAAGGTGCTGGAAGGGATCCTGTGAGATCATAGAGTCCAGCCCCCTTGCCATAGGCAGGAAGTCAGCTGAGATCAAGTAATCCCAGCAAGAAAAATATCCAGATGTTTTTTTGAAAGAGTCCAGAGTAGGTGCTTGCACCACCCCTGAGGGAGTCTGTTCCAGACCCTGGACACTGGCACCGTAAAGAACTTTTTTCTTATATCTAATCTAAATCGGCCTTCCTGGAGTTTATGGCTGTTAGACCTTGTTATCCCTTGGGGAGCTCTGGTTAACAGCTGTTTTCCCAGGTCCTGATGTACCCCTCTTATATAATTGTAGGCTGCTACCAAGTCCCCCCTGAGCCTTCTCTTTTCCAGCCTGAAGAGGCCCAAGTCCCTCAGCCTCTCCTTGTACGGCCTTCCGTCCAGGCGTTGGATCATACAAGTGGCTCTCTTTTGGACTCTCTCAAGCTTTTCCACATCCCTCTTGAAGTGGGGGGCCGAAAACTGGACACAGTACTCCAACTGTCGCCTCACCAAGGCCAAGTAAAAAGGGAGGATGACGTCCCTGATTTTGCTTGAGATGCATCAGTAGATGCATGCCACAGTTTGGTTTGCTTTGCCAGCCACAGCCTTGCATTGGTGACTCATATTCATCTTGTGGTCAATCAGGACCCCCAAGTCTCTTTCGGTCATTGTGCTAGCAAGCGTAGCACTTTTGTAGCAGACCATGGTAGTTAGCAGTTAATCTTGAATAAATGAAAAGAGGGCAAAAACTTTTTTCAAACCTATTGGGCAATATGATTGAGGGGGGTTAGAATAAAGAAATGGTAATTTGGGTGCAGAAAAGGCAAGTCTCTGAGTTGCTCTACACATAGTTTGATTTATCATGCTTTATTCTGATAACTGCAGCCATAAATTGGGATCCACTGGTTTAACTATAATCTTTTCTATAGTGGCAAAATTCAAATGCAGAGCTGCCCTTGATTACAGTCACAGAAGTGAAGCTGATGGTTTCATATCATCTACATGAGCTGTTAAACTTCTATCAGTATCATTTCCAAGCAGGCTGTTACTGACCCACATTTCCATCAATGGATCAATTTTCTAGTGTAGCCACGGCCTTAGCTCCCATGTTTACTATAGCTAGGAAGTGGGGTATCTTTATCTGACCTGGAGCTTTGACTTCTGTTCATCATTAGGGACCTCCAGAAGATCTTCAATGTCAATTTCTGGTTCAGGGATGGCTGCTTCTGCCTCCTCCTGCAGCTAGAACAGAAATACATAATAAATACTCTTCAGTTTGCAACCATTCAAGTAAGTCTTAAAGGATTCCAGTTCAAGATGAACACAGGCCCCAAACAATGCGTCAAGAAATTACTTTTCTCAAAATGTCAGTGGTGTTTAGAACCAGAGTTGTGATTCATCTCTGGCACTAATTGGAGCAATACCTATGAACATGCACAATGCCCCTTTGCATAGGTAACACCTCCCTGCTCCTACTGGCACAGCAAAGTCCTACCAGTCAGTTGAACAGTCCTACCCCTAAACCTGACACTTCTGCCCAAGGAAATGTGTGCCATTGTGATAGGAACCTTCCCAAGAGATAGTGCAGTTGCAGTGGGAAAGATTCATAGAATCATAGAGTTGGAAGTGACCTCAGGAGGTCTCTAGTCCAATCCCCTGCTCAAAGCAGGACCATCCCCAACTACATCATCCCAGCCAAACCTTTGTCTAGCCAAGTCTTAAAAACCTCCCAAGGATGGAAATTCTACCACCTCTCTGGATAACCTGTTTCAGTGTTTTACATTATCCTCCTGGTGAGAAAATTCTTCTTAATATCTAATCTACACTTCCCTTGCAGCAACTTGAGACTGTTGCTCCTTGTTCTGTCATCTGCCACCACTGAGAACAGTCTAGCTTCATCCTCTTTTGAACCCCCCTTCAGGTACTTGAAGGCTGCTATTAAATCTCCTCTTAGGCTTCTCTTCTCTAGACTAAATAAGCCCAGTTTCCTCAGTCTCTCCTCATGGGCAACTGGTGTTGGCTGAGTCTGGGGGTGGGGCACAGCACACCACTATCCCCTCCCCCAACCCCAGCAAGAGCCCCAGACATACCTTTCTTCCAGGAGCAGGATCAGCACCTCTGCTGGGGGACTGGAGCACGCTCTTTACAGGTAGGAAGAGGGAGGGAGGGGCCACGCGGGCGAGGGAGGCAGGGCAATGCTTCAGTTGGCCGAAGCACTCTCTGATGCTCTGGGCTCCAGTGCACTGAGGGAGGGCGGGGCTGGGTAGAGAAGCAGAGCATGGTCCCTGGCCATGTAATCAGGCTGGTGGGGATCCGCTCTGCGCCTGGCCCTGTCCTGAGTGGTGCCGAGCTGGGGTCCATTAATGGGCCCTCCAGCACTTTCAGGGACCAATCTCAGGGGGGAGGGGCATGTGACCCCCCATGCCTCCCCTACCAGTTGCCTGTGCCTCTCCTCATACGTCATGTGCCCCAGCCCCCTCACCATTTTTGTTGCCCTCTGCTGAACTCTCTCCAATTTGTCCACATCCTTTCTGTAGTGGGGGGCCCCAAAACTGAACACAGTACTCCAGATGTGGTCTCACCAGTGCTGAATAGAGGGGAATAATGACTTCTCTTTACCTGCTAGTAGCACACCTACCAATACTATGTGAATGCACAACAGTCAGCCCCTACCACAGGCTCAAGGAAACTGGGTCTCAGAAGACCCACATCAATACAAATTGACACAGAATCTCCCTACTTAAGTTCTCTTTTGAAATGCCCAAGCCCAACAAATGCTGTGGCATTTAATTTGTTCAGATCAGGAGGAACATTTGAATTTACCCTGCTAGGATTTAAATTTGTGATTTCTCGGAATCCTGGGTATTTTAAACCTGATAGTTAAACTTCTGCAATGCATTAAAAATGTAATTATGGTAAGAAAATAGTCAAGGCAACAGAACAAGCTGCCAGTGGAAGCTGTGGAATTGCTGCCAATTGCACTAATGAAGAGGAGACTACTGAGGACAATTAAACAGTCCTTCTACGATCCAGGGAGCAGAGTTAGGCAGCCCAGTAGACACCCCTTTTCACTGAAGAAAAATCTAGAATCACTTCTTCCTTATTAAAAAAAATATGTTAAGACATTCTACAAGTAACATATCCACTACAAACTGTTCTGTACCCTTTCAACAGGCTTTAAAACCTGCACGTACTGGTTATGTCACTTCCCAATGTGTCTGGGTTCACTGCAGGAGGAAATCTGGATGCTTGGTCTAAGGATATGAATGCTGAAATGCCTGTCTGAATATGGAAGAATTTCTTATGAAGGAGAGGAGCCAGCAGAACAAGCACGTGTCACAGGCAACTCACTCCATGAACAGAGATGCTGCATTTTCTGATGTCCTTGTTCCCGCTGGGACTTTGCAATAAGGAAGGAAAGATTGACTGTATCTATAACTATAATCTACGGACTGCAGGTTTAAAAATGCTGTATTTTCTCATTTTCTTGGTCCCTCTGGGATTCTGTAATAAGGAAAGAAAGATGGACTCTAAATCTATGCCCTTGAGACAGCTATCATAGAATCATAAAAAATGAGGGTTCAAAGGGACCTCAGGAGGTCATCTAGTCCAACCTCCTGCTCAAAATAGGACCATCTCCTACTAGATCATCCCAGCCATGATGTTTATTAGGAAATATAAAAACAGAGCCTGATTAGGGAATACAGACTCAGGAGATCAGAGATGGAAAAAAAGACTTGACTTGTTGCCTTTGTGGCTCCTTAAAAACGTTCATTTGCAGGTCTGGAAGGGGGCAAGTCTCACAAAGGGAAGCATACCCTGTCCTTAGAAAAGAGTAATCAAAACCTACCCCTAAATCACCATCACCTGCTGTACAATTTTTAAATAGATATTTTTAATTTTACTAGCTTCTGTGAACAACATAAGTTTCACTCTTAAAGGAGTAGTAATTGTCCTTGCTAACTTTCTCAGAACTCTCTCCTGCCACTTCCTTTTAGCTTTGTGAGCCTCAACTTGGGAGTGCTCTATCATCCAGATCTCTGTCATTGTGAACTCCCTCACAGCAGGACACGGTCAGCCCCACAGACAGCTTCATCTTTTGGCAGTTCTGCAGGTGTAAATACCATAAGGGTCTGTAGTCTTTAGGCTGGAAAGTGGAAATGGGATCCTTTTCATTGCTCCCTATCAAATGTAATTAGTCTTGTCACAAGAATGCAGTGACATCTTGGTTCTGGGGCCTGCTCTACACTGTGATTTCTATTGAACTAATAGAGGGACACAATTTACATGTTTTTCACAAGAGAATTGGCACACTAGCCTGGAACTGTGGGTCTTTAGCTGCAAAATATTATGGATTAAACCAAAAAAAGTAAAACCACATAGGTGGGTTTTATTGTAATTTTAAAAGATAAGATGAAGCCAAAAAACAGCCAGCTTGTCGTCTTCAAGCCAAGTAAAAAAAAATGGTACCAAATCAGCACATCTCTGGCAAATGAAAACAGAACAGAGAAAGTCCTGGGAGCAGCAGGGCCAGCTTTGAGGGACTAAAAGCTTTGAGGGACTAAAAGACTAATGGACCACAGAGCCTTTCACTGTTATGCTGCTGGGTTACTTCCAGCTCAGACTGGTAGTGAGTCAAAACCAAAAGGGGCTAGCATTCAATGTCTTTTGGTCCCAGTCCAGTTCCTACATTCAACAATTTATCATCAAAATCATTATTCTTGTTGACAGCCTGAGCAGAGAAGCCAAAGGCCAACTGAACAAACCTATCACCCCTTAAAAGGTCTCATCAAATCCAAGTTCGAACACAATGAAAGGGAAACTAGCACTGCTGCTGTACCTGTTGCATGTATAAAGTCTTCATTTATGGGGATGGTCAGTCTGACACCTTGAATAAACACTAAATTAACATAAAAATATGTATTTTTTTATTGATTCACAATTCTGGACCTTGTGACACTTCTATCAATGGGTAATCTGGGGCAGTCTGTTTAAAACTATCTAGAGACTCTATCTGCTATTGTTTGGGTAATGGAGCATGGAATGAGCACCAATTAGTATTATTTATAAAATGAAAGAATAGATTAACATATACAAAAAGACTAAGACATGAAGGAACCATCTAGCACAGGGGTGCTCAGTCCCTGCCTGCTAAACCAGATCCAGCTTGTGAAACCAAGTTTGCAGAGCTCCCTATGAGTCTGAAAATCTAGTGTCAGGAGAGTGGGGGCAGCATTAACTGGTGTTCCCCTACTGCCAAAGTTCTGGACCTGTGGGAGCCTTATGGGTGGACAGCATTTGCCCTGCATGCTAGATTCGGTGTGTGGGGTGGGGCAGCATGAGGTGGGATCCAGACAAATGGGGTCTGATCTGAGTTCTGACCTGGTTGATCCAACTTGTAGACCAGTCCTGCATCACTCATCCTGCCTGTGGGGCCAAAAGGTTGAGCACCATAGATCTAACCTAGCTAATACAGTAGTTTTCTGAATTTCAGGAAGATTAAAACACTACTTAATAAAAAAAAAGGTAATAATAATTCAGGAAACCAGATATTCTTGCTCAGAAGTGCCAGATGTAGCATAAAACAAAGTGACAACATAGTTTCTTTGTTCTATACATTTTAATTCCATTGCCACTTGTTGATGGTGCAAAATATAACTGAACTGTTATCTCTTTTCAAGTATTGGGGCAGTCTGGAGACTGTACCTGGTATTGTCTTTGTTAATGTATTATAAACTGCCTGGCACGTAGGATGGGCATAAATTTATAAAATAAAATAAGAAATGAATATATGCAAAGAGAAATTAGATTTAATACATAAAGAATGGGAAATGAGCCCACAAGTTAATAAAGGTTCAGAAAAATGTACAAAGCAATGGAGGACCCAAAAGTTTGGATACATTTCTGAAGAGTTCACAGTGTTCATTTTGCAGCTCCTGGTACAAAAAATTATGTAACAACAGCCTTTCCAGGGGCATTGGATATCCTTTTCCAATACTAGTTAAAATCTGAAATCACAGATGTTCAAAATGGAAGTTAACCAAACTTTTGGAGAGATCTACTAGTAAATGTTTAATCAGCTTCTGGATGAAGATGGGCATCTTATTTTATACAAACTGTTAGACCCATTTCCAATTCTGCTGAAGGTAGCTGCCATGATAGATAGGATGGTCAGGGGATTTGGGCTCTACTGCTGCTTCTGCTTTTCCTGGAGCCTGATACAAAATTAATTGAACCTTGTAATTTCAGTAGGTTTTTTATCAGGTCTTGTTGTGTGACCCCAGGCAAATTCCATAATGACTCCATGTCTCAGCATCCCGAAAAGGGGAAAATACTACGTAGGCTCTCTGTGGTGGTGCTATGTAAGTGCAAAATATTAAAGGTAGCAACATTGTCAGATGAATGTTTTAGTGTTTAGCCAGCTCTGGAATGTTTCATACAAAAGCAGTAAAAAACTCCTGGTATAAAGTGGTTAAAAAAAAAAGATTAATATTGATACAGGCATATGTTTAGGGACTCTCAAACCTTTACTTGCTTTTGCCAACTCAAATATGGACAGCAAGAATTGCCCACATGCACTCTCACCCAATAACATAATTGCTGCTGAAAACATTGGCCTGAGGAAGAAAGCTTCATGTCTATAGGGATGGAAACACAATCTGTACACACACTGGCTGAGCCCCCCATTTCTCTCTTCCTTTCTCTATACCACTGTTCTCTGCTGGTAGATATGGTGTTACCCAGAGTGTGATCCTTAACACTGCAGTAGCACTAAGGGTATGTCTACCTGTTGTAACTGTAGCCTACTTAAATATACTGGAGCTACTTTTAAAGTAACTGGCTCAGGTGCTGATAGCATTCCAGCTGCAGCAGCCTAAGCTCAGCATGAGCTAATTGCCAGAGTGTTTATCCAGTTTCTTGGGAGGGTTTTGCTGAGCTCCAGGCTGCCAGACCTATAATGCAAGTAGCAGCGGAACTGGCTACTTTAAAGGTGTCTCAGATATGTCTACAATAGCTACAGTCATTGCAGTGATGACAAGACAAACTTAAAGAGAGCAAGTGCTAGCAGTGTGGCAGTGGGATACTCAACAAAGAATGAAGTCACCCTTGGTAGTCACTATGTACTACACTACTCCCATAAATTAAAAAAAACATGTCATGGCACACCCGGCCTACGACCCCTACACTTAAGTCTAATTCACCCCAGTTCCCCACCTGGTACTGATACAGCTCCTGCAACTGGGCATCGATCCATTCCTCCAAGTCTCGCCATCGCTGAAGGTCCTTGCGGTTGTACTTCACAGTTAGCTTGCCTAGTTTCCTGTGGGAGGATTCCTCCTCGGGCTTCTCTGGAGTCTGAAAGGTGACTCGTGGCAGTGTGCTGGACTCATTGGCCATCCTTACCACTCCTCTTACTCCCTCTTCTTCTGTCTTCTACTCTCACAGTGAGAGCTCTCTCTCTTGTCTCCTTTTCTTCTTCACTCTGCCCTGTAAGATAATTCTGTGGTGATTGGTGAGCAGTAGTGCAAGTTGCCTGCAGTGGCTAACACAGGTAGGCAGCATCAACAGTCCCGGTGACAGAGTGAGAAAGATGAGGAGAAACTGCACAGCACAAGCAGCAGCGAGGCAGTGAAGGCAGAGTTACCGGAAAAAGATTCTGAGGTTTCACATTTGGTGGTGTGGACAAAAGCAACGGGGGAGGGAGAGAAGTTGTTGTAATAACATCTGTTGTTAAAAGGAGGCCAAGGGAACCATTGGTGAAAGTTTGTTAATATTTAATACAAGCCAGCTCAGGGGGTGGGAGAATGGAAGGAGAAGGTTTTAAATGACAGTTTTCCTACAGATGCATGTATATATGCATACTTATATACAGTTCCACAGGACTTACCATATGTAAAATATAGACCCTCTTAGTGTCAAGATGCACTATATCTTTAGTCTAACACAATTCCTAAAGAGTTCAGCTCATGCCAAAACAGTGTATGTGCTCTTTATTTATAGAAGAGAACTCAGCACTGATGAAAAGAATTATCCTGAGAGAACTACAGGAAGAATTCATTGTAATTATAGTGGTAACACCACTGTAGTTAATATGGAGACTAATTTACTAACTAAACAGCTACATTTGTAAGTGTTTTAAAATCAACATGTTTACTCCAACTATCTTGAAAAAGGCAATATCTCCTAGAGATTCAGAGTAGGGTTAAAGATACAAACTTAAAGTCATTTCAGCAAGGGGCTCTTAAAATGCATTATCATGAAAAAATTGTGCAACAAAAATGTTATGCTTCTTATAATTTTTCCTCTCTTGCTTTCTAAACTCTTTTGTGTCACTAAGAGACATTAATGCTGGGGGGCAACATTCTTTACTGAGGAAAGTATATTGTTAGCACCTGCTTACAAAAAGGAACTAAAGATAAGAGGCAAAGACTATTGCAGTGTAGTAAACATACAGTAACAGAATAACATTGCAGTTTGCTTTGCCATTTTTTTTATTAGAAGGGGGTTTAAAGGTCTGTGATATTCCTCACCATGTTACATTTTTACAGGGACATATTGCAAGAATGAATAAGGAAATGCAAAACAATAACTCTAATTACAGGTGTCAGGGAACCTGTGCCCCCTTCAGACACAGTATCCTTTTACTCGGATATGCTCCACAAGCCTCCTAGTGCCCTTCCTCACCCTTCCAGAGATCTGATCTTAGACTTAAACAGTGACAGATTAAAACCTTATCAATGTCATGAACTAACTGAGGCTCTACATGATAGAGAACGATCCCACAATTGCTATTTGGTAGCCTACAAGGAAGGAGTCAGTGGACATGGCTACACATGTAATGAATGCACCTGAATTTTCTGCACAGACAATTCAGGCACATCAAACTGTGTCCCTGCACATATCTGAACGTGTGCCTGTTGGGAGCAAATTTGCTCCTGGTGGGAGCAGTTCAGTCTAGGGCTGGTCCTGTCCTGCTCTGCCCTCCTGCAGCAGCCAGAGGGAACTCCAGGCTCCCCTGGGTGCTAGCCCCAAGACGGCAGCAGGCGGGGGGGTTGGTCCTGATCTCCACAAGTGGGGGAGAGCTGACCCGGCTGCCAGGCAGCTGCCTCCCAGCCACACAGAGATCAGGACCTGCCTAGATCTTCACGGGGCATGAAGACTGTCCCGGCTGCTCGGCAGCTGCCTCCCAGCCAATCTCCATGTGCCTGGGAGGCAGCTGTCTAGCAGCTGGGACAGCTCTCTCTGCCCCATGGAGATCAGGATGGGTCCTGATCTCCATGTGGCTGGGAGGCAGGCTCCCACTAAGCCAGGACAGCTCTCCCTGCCCCCCTGTGGCCTTCTGCTGCCTAGGCTGACCAGGAACAATTGGTCCCAGACAGCATCTACACCTGAGCTTCAGCGCATTACTTTAATGCACCAATTTTTAGTACTTGTATCTACAGGTACTAGAAAATGGTGCATTAGACTAATCTATGGCACAGTAATTGCTGCGCATGTGTAAAGGGTGATGCTTTACTGCACATTAGATTAGTCTAATGTGCAGTAAAGCAACTTGTGTAGACACAACCAGCGTGTCTCAGTCTAGTTTTTTGTGAACTGCCACAAGCTCACAGAATAACGTGTCACTATAATTGGCAACCTGTGACACTCTTGGATCAGAGATGAAGGACTCTATAGAACCAGAAAAACTGAAATGAACTAGGTCCAATGGAATCAGCTGCCTAAAGAAACTGTAGAACTTCCTTCATTGAAGGTTTTCAAGAAGAGGCTGAATCATTTATAAACAGTGAATCCTGCATCTGAGCAGGGGCTGAACTAGATGAACCTTGAGGTCCCTTGGCTAGACTCCAGGCATTGATGGGAAAGTAAAGGGAAATTTGCAGTGCCTAGTGACTTACTCTGCAGATAAATTCACGGCCCAGAAACACTGTTAACATGAAGTTAATACTGACCATTTGTACCTTGTACCTAGAGCAGGTTGGAAAACAGATTTTCCATTTCATGGGAAATTCTGATCTTGTGAAAACATTGGTAGTTTAGATAGCAGCAAACAGAAAAATCTTGCATGAAATGCAAATTCCATGTACAGTATTTGGATTCTGAAACATGGAATTGTTCTGGTAAAGGCTAAGCACAATTATAAATCAATAAAAGGCTGCCACTGGTAGCATCACCTATAATTCAGGTTGTCCAATATTTCCCATTATAAAACTTTCTTTTCAGTTATTTGCAGGTGACAAATGGTAGCTATTTGGGCTGAAAATTTTCATACTGCGTGTCTGCTGGAGGTTGATTTTGTTGTTGTTGTTGTTTGTTTTTTAGAAACTCTGAAATGAGGCTAGGGGAAAGTGTATGGTTTGGGGTGAGACTTGTATATGTTTCGTAAGGGTAGGAGCTTTGGAGACACTTTGCTACCAAAAAAAATAAGATATTTCTACATGTGAAAAATGAAAAGGTTGCAGTGTTTTGCCTAGAGTTTTCCAAAGTGGGGGAAAAAAATCAACCTGAGGCAAGCACCCAGCCTAGTGAAGAAGGGCACTAAAAGGTTCTTGGAGCATAGATGAGTAAGGTCATGACAAAGTGTCCAAAGGGACATTGATTGCTGCAGTCAAACTTATTCTGCCTTGTGTCTCTCTGCAGCTCTGACAATGAAACATTGTAAAATGGAGTACAGTTGAGTTATCACAGGCTCTTCCAGTAACAGAAAGCATGGGGGCGGAACTGTAATATACTATTACCATATGTTTATTACACTTTTGTGAACTATGCCTCTTTTATCATTAGTTCCTTTTGAGAAGAAAGTGATAGTGTCTCTCTCAACATTTTCATTTATAAAGGTTACCATCACCTCCAGTACAGAGATATTGTAGTGCCATGGGAGGCTCCAAAAGCAAGGAGGCAGAACATTAATTCTCAGTTTTATTGTAAGATGGGAAGGAAGAAATTTGTAACACTGATCTGAAAACATGACTGGGAGTCAAAAGATCCTCAAATTCATCCTGACTGTCACCCTCTGTGGGTGTGGGCAATTTAGTTGAGCCAAAATTTTCAAAGCAGATGTCTAAAGTTAGGCAACTAAACCCCTCTATAGGCATTTAAATAACTGAACTGATCTTCACAGTTGCTGGGTACTTATCACTCCATCTGACTTTCTGTAGCAGTTGTGAGTGCCCAGCTCCTCTGGCAATCGAAACACCAACTGTGGACACTGGTGCCCAACTGTAGATGTCCAAGTCTGAAAGTATTAGACTTAACTATAGTGCTTAAGTTTCCCAATAGTAAGTTAGGGACACTGTCAACCTTCTTGATGGAGGTGTTCTGAGAGTTAGCTAATTTTGTCCTTGAAGATTAAAAAGTGCTCAGTTCTTAATATTCATGCGTCATTCTAATTAGAGACTACCTGTTTATGTGTAAAGAGGCCATTTAGGTCAGACCAAGATCCAACGTTTCAGAGGGATCCTAGGGCAGAAAGTTTGTGCGAGAATGTCAGAAGGCTGTGGCAATGATCCAGCTCTGAAAGCAGTCACGTATGTGAGAAGGATCCCATTACACTGCTCTTTTTTTTTTTAATTTATAATCCACATCCCACACCTGTGACCTAAACTGCAGCAGCTCTGTGTCAGAGCTAACAACTGTTATATACTGAATAATTGAAGAGGGCTCCAGCTCATCTTTCTAGAGAACCAGGTCGGTCTCTTCTCCTCAAGTCCAAGCCCTAAAAGGAAAACCTTCTTTCAGGAGAGATAGGACCATGTCTGCTCCTACCTCCTACTTTTGAAACAATCCTTTTCAACACAGTGGTTAAAGTCAATCAAAATGAGAGAAGGAACTGAGGTAGCTGTCTCATGAGAGCATTGATATAAAAGCATAAAGTCTCATGGCAATTATGTGTTGGAACACAGTTCAGGCAAGAGAGTGAGAATGCAGAAATAAGCCTATCTGAAAGCCTACAAACAGAGTTGTATGAGCATGTACATACACAAAGTAAGTGAAGCTGTTCTGAGCCAACTTCCCTACTACTCTCAAATACCTTACTTTCCAGACCTACAAACATGTCTGTAGAGGACTAGGAGGAAAGAAGGAACTAAGACATGTAACATTGCCCTTAAGTTCTGGCTAGGGGAGGTGAGATGACAACAGCTGTGGACAAACATAACAGTATTCTGTTTTAAAGAGGGTTAGGGGTGGCTGCTCAGGAGAGCATGTCTGCTGGACTAATTTAACTCTACATTGTTAGTACATGCCTCTATTAGCATAAGAGGAGCTAACCTACTGTAACTTGAATGAGACAGAAGTGAACTGATGAAGCAGTTCACCAGAAGCAGAACTGGTTCAGTATAAGCTGCAGTAAACTGGTATAATTTTAAACTGCTGTAACTGTATTTTCTGTCCACACTGTTTTCTAAAAGGAGGAATTCCTAGCTTGTATAATTCCTTTCTCCTGATACGCTGATGCTGTTACAAATGGTGGCAAAAACTAAAACAGAACCCAGAAGAGAGAAAAGAGAGGACAGGAAAGTCGGCCCTTCCCCTCTTCTTCCATATATTTTATCAGGATAGTCTATTGCAGTTACAGTTTTATAAAAGGATACAAACATCGCCCCTGAGAATGTTACCCCCATCTCAACTGAAGCTGATAACTTGGCTTTATAAATGCCACAGAAATGACTGTCAGAGGTCCCCCATTAAACATTTGAGTAGATTGCTTCTGCTGTTCCTCTTCTAGCATGAGGGGGAAGAGAACCATGGCAACTGAAAAGCTTTAGCATTAAATTCTGACCCAATTGCTTCATTTAAATTTCATATTTTTTAAAACATTTTTCCTTCTAAAACTTGACAGCATCCTGGTTAGCGCAGTTGAAGACGACAGAATCAGATACATAAGGGTATCATGATAGCCCATGTTTCCTGTAACAGTTTCCAGACTTCGCAAATAGGTTTTGGAGACAGCCATAGCCCCCTCTGAAAGACGGGGACATGGCCTGGCATAGTAAGGCCCTGTGGGGCTGGGAAATAAATGGCAGTGGATAGGGACATGAGGGAATATGGGTGAGGGAGAACTGCTGTCTTTTATGGAGGCGTGGCATGTGGATTGAGAAGGAAGACTGAATTGGGCTGGTGGGCACTGTCTTGGGCCAGAGGCAGGGAGCAGATTGTGGGGTGGAGTGAACTGCTTTTGATTTTGGGGTTTGGGGGTGAGGAGGGGAGTTCGTTTTTCTTATTTCAGTATTGTATTCTGTTTCTGTCATTCTTTTTCTCTTTTACTGTAAGCCACCATGGGCCTTTCTGAGAAGGGCAGGATATCAATCTAATAAATAAATAAAAATGAATGTAACGAGGGCTCATCTGTACAAGTTTTATACCAGTATTGTTATAAAGTGACAACCCCCACCCCAAGACAGATGCAGGTATGTGGAAATTTCCATTTATAAAAAACTGTGCGGAGACCAGTCCTTAATAACAGACTCTGTGGGGAGGTTCTCAAGTAACTAGGGACTCAGCCTTTCCTCACTGGTGTCATTATAGGAAATGACAGGAATACAGGCTGTGGGGAAGCCCAGAACTACTTCTGTTGCAGTAGGAGTGTCAGAAAGTCTCCCATTTTAGCAGCAGTCACTGTAGGGATTGACATGGGAGAATGGGTTGTGTGTGAACTCTCAGCTGCTCTTACCATAGCCCCTGAAGAAAGTCAGAGAAAGGTGTGCATGTGTCCTTGGCTGTTCTAGCCTTGCTTTCTACTAGTGGGAGCTGTACAGGAAGTCTGATGAGGGCAAAGCAAATCTCAGGCTCTGCTTTCATTGTCCAGAAAGGTCCGTTTTCACATCTAGTTATCCATTTCACTGTGAAATATGCCTGAATACAAGACAAAGGTAGTTTTTGTTACAACCTAGCTAGTCCAGGTTAATACCATTTCTCCCCTATCTAGGGCTTACCT